TTAATAACACAAAAAATATTTATACAAAATACTCAAATTACTATGACTTTATTTTATATTCAATATCTTTTTACTGTTTGAAATTATAATCTTTCAAAATTAGTGGTACTCTAAACATACATAATGTTTTAAACTCTACATCTCTTAATATTGTTTACCCTGAGTTTGTAGACCAGATTTTTTTTTCTAGACATGTGAGCATTTCCGTTTCATAGCCTGAATGAATTTTACTTGTGATTAAACTTAAAAAATCAAATTTAAAGTTATTGATTGCTTCAAATCACCTTTGCACAAAAACACATTTTTCATATACATAGTTAAAAATGAAAATTAGAATTTCAATATATTTTTCTGCATATAATTTCAATAACGGTATTTTCATGTTTTTTGAATTTTTAATACATATATTAAATTTTATAAAAAAAAAACAGTTTCCAGCTTGGTTTTGACAAATCACAAAGTGTCAAATTTCAACTTTAAAATAATCAACTCTTGTTTAAATAAAAAAAATCGGGTATAACTTTAACATAAAAATATTAAATTTTTTTAAAGTCTTTAAAATGCTCGAATTTAAAAGAAAAAGGTGTTAAGAAATCAGCAGAGATTGACAGGAATTTAATAACAGCTATCAATTAAGCGGTGACTAACTTGTTTTTTAATTTCATTCATCCATCCATTTTGTATTTCAATTAGTTATTTCGTAACTTTATATAAGTTATAATGAGTTTGTTAAATAATTTATTCATGATTTTATTTTGATTTTCTTATGGTTTAATACTGATGATATACAAATACTTAACTGATAAAATTATAACTATAATTTGTATATTTAACAGTTTAAAAATTATGTTTTGTACAGATTAAAATCACGTAATTATTTTTTAATTTTATTATAAATTCAATCAATGAAAAAATAAAACGAGTTAATTTTGTTTTTGTTAATTTTGAATTTCTAAATTCCGACATTTTGATAAAAACAATTCATCGCTGTATAGTTTACTTGGATCCATATTTTTTCCTCAACAATCGTATACATTCACGAAAACACTACTTTAGAGTTGAAATACGGCGAAAAGCAAATAATTTAGTTATGAAATGGTATAAAATTCGGTGATTATACACTGATTCTTTAATGGCAAGTCTAAGATTTCATCAGGTTATATCCAGTGTAATCTTAATATTAAATTTGATAATATTGAATTTTACGGAATTGCGTCGAACTTGAACTGTGCATAAAAATATATAATTAGTTACTCAGGTAACTGGGTGATTGGTGTAATTTAGGTATTTTGTATAAATATTTTTTGTGTAATTAAGTGGTAAATATGTATGTGTAATTCTGTAAAGAAATTTTTCTAAAACAAAAACTATTATATTAATTTTTATCAGACAGAATTGAAATGGAAACTTATGTGTACAGTTTCTTTTTAAAAATCTGAAAAAAATCGTCACACACCCTTACACAGATCTCTCCTGAACAATGTTAAATATACTTTTAAATGATTTTTTCAAATTGATTATAAAAAATAATTTCTATTTTCTCAATGAATACACAAATATAAAAGACAAAAAAATGTTAAAAAACGTGGCCAAACAATAAAAAATTTTAAACTACAATTCATTCTTTTTATTTTGTTTTAATTAATTTAAAAAGGACAACATTCTCATTTCAAATCCTAGAACATAAAATGTTACCTTTATTCGTGACTGGAACAATGAACTTTTGTAATAAAAAAAAATGTTATAAAAGAAAACGTTGCATTCATGCTTTATTTTTCCTTCATTGTTTTAACACAAACCTTTTTCAGACATGCAGCAGTGGGACTCTTGTGAAATTAAAATTTGTAATTTTATAGAATTAAATTTTTATTATAAGGATCACGTTAGAATATATGAAAACCTTTGTAAGTGCTTTATAAAAATGTTTTGTTGGAAATTTTTTGTTCAATCATTAGGAATTTAAAAATTATGCTTTTATTAAAAAAAACATGTTATCTGGGGCTTAAACTAAATAATTTATGAAAAAATTACATTTTTCTGGTTTAACACGCATGAAATGAGGCTAAATTACAATTTAAAGATTCAGTGTATCATAAATTTTATAAGAAATGATAGTGGTCATACATTTACTATGGTCGCTATGGTTTTTATTAATTTTATCAAATTTTTTGTTAATTATAGTATTTATGTAATTGTATATTCACGAGCTTATGGCAATGTGTACAAACTTAAATTTCAATGAATCAATAAATTTACTTACACTATGATGAAGTTGTTATATAGTTGAAAGTTTAGATAGTTGACATCTTGTTTACCTGTCCCATATTAACTGTCAAATTCAAACAAAATTCATAAATTGATTTCAAAGTTTTTGCTATTTCTCACTCCACTACAATTTTTAACGATTCTCAATGGTTTTTGGTTTTTTAACTTTGTTATAAATTTCGAATTGAAAACAAGAATCCACCCACATCAAGCGAAAAAATTTTTTTTTTTTTCATTTCGTGAAAAAATCCTACCACAATTTTTGACAACAAACTTAAAAAATTAAAAAAAAAATTTTGTAAGAATGACTTGGATTTTTTAAAGTATTTTCTCCTCCTCATTGAAAAATATTGTTCTTTAACATAAATAATCGAGTAAATGCTATAAATTTACTGACTAAAAATAAATCAAATTAAAAAAAAGAATTCAATAAAAAATTTCTTAAACTTAAAAAATGTGACTTTAAAATGAAAATGTCTATAAGTTCCGTACATTTATATATATATTTTTCCATGTCTATAAGTTTGGTTGAAGAACAGAAGTTGTAATAGTTGATACTGCAAATGCATTATTAAAACTACCATCAGAATAAGTGCACAAACTAACCGTTTAATAAAATTATTACCGATTTCAAAAATAGTAGTCCCATAATAATAGAATGACAATTTTTGTTATCTTGCTAATTACCACGTCTTGTAGATTATAAAGTCAACTGCGACAGTAGCGCAAAATATAATTTGATTTTCCAATTAAATTTCCAAATATTAATTGCAAATGATCGAATAAAATTTAACTCTGCTGACAATAAAGAATATTGCAATTTTTCTTGGTGCAAGTTTCTTTAAGACAAAAAATCTTAAAATAAGAGAAATCTTAATTTTGAAATTATTCTTGATTATTTTACTTGTGAAGCTAAGTTTTAAATATATTTATATTAATATGTTCCTATATAAAAGTTGTATGTTTTTTTAAGATTAATAAAATATCATATTGCGTACTATACGAGTACAAGATTATGCCATGGAAGAAAAAACTCAAGCCGCTATATAAGACGCTAAAGAAATTCTAAAAAAGATGCGGTGCAACACTATTGAAAAACGATGTTAAACATACCTACCAATGACGTTACAAATATCTACCTGTAAATAAACTCACGTGTATATTCAGGTAGAAAAATATCAAGTTCTTCATTAGGACATAAAAATTTTTTAATAAACAAAGAATTTACTTCTTATAGAATTTTATGCTTCATGTGCTATTTTTCAATGATTTAATAAAAAATTTATACGCACAAAATTGGGCGTTTTTAATCCACTTAATATAAGAAATATTTCTTAGCAAATTGTATGTGTGTATATTATATTAATTTGAAGTGGGAACACTTCAAACATACAGGAACCTCCTATCTTTTAACACAAAGATTCTGTACTATCTTCTTCATATTATGAAGGTTACAAATCTTATTGTTGTGTTTTTACTTCTTCGAAAATATTTTCGAGTGGAACAAAAGTAAATTTTAATCTTTTATATTTTACATTGTTTTTTGTTCTTATAAACTTGAATTATATTAAGATTTTAAAGGACATTAAGTGCTACTTGATATTTTGTCAATAAATAAATTATAAAATAAAAGATACTTGATACTTTGCTGAAATAAGCAATTAGTGGCACGAGTCAAGAAATCAATATGATGGTATAAATTTCAAAATTTCTGGTACTTAACTCTAAACTACACAGTGATTAGAAATATTTGAAAGTTAATCTGTGAAAAATAACCCAAGTAATTTTTAATTTTAATTAATTACTAAATTTTTTATTCCATTTTTAAAATTATCTGCAAAATTTAAATCCTATATAGTTGATATATTCTACACCTACCCTGTAGTTGATTTAAACACAGAAATTTTTTAAAATAAATATAAAATAATAAAATAATTCAACATATTGAATAATTAAACTGAAATATTCAATTTGAAAAGCGAACTTCTATTTGTTTATCCGAAAAGTTCTTCACAACTATTTGTTGAATTTCTCTGAATTTTCCAAATATTTGAACAATATAGAACGCCACACCAGCATTTTCTAATTTGTGTAAATTTACTTAGCTTCTTACACTATATTTTTATTAAAAAAACGAGTTCCTGGTTTAAGCACAATTATTTGCAAAATCAAATGTTCACAAAATCCAAATATTCCTCTAATTATGGAAAGGTTGATTGCGAAGATATCAATGTATATGAACAGAAAATTTTCTATTTCAATAATTTATTGGTAAACTATTGTTTAGATTTCAGATATTGTTTAGAATTTAATTTTCAAACTTTAGATTATTTTTAAATTGAATTTTTTATTCTCTTATGTTTTGTATTTTTGCGGTTTATTCGCATAATTTGGTTTAGAGCAGCCATAATTGCGAAATGGCTGTACCTTTTGTTGTCGCTGCCTTTATTGTTCATAAAGAAGAGATTAAATCAAAGGAACAAAAAAGGACTAAATTAGAAACACATCTGTGAATTAATCTTATACTTTTTATGTTTTGCAAAAATGAATATTCAATTGATAAAAAGGACGAATATGATGTTTATTCATTACTAAAAACACATTCTAGTTATTACACACTTATGTTTGTCCGCTTAGATTAAAATGTAATATATTTGATAAGACCACCTATTGAAACTATACTTACATATATTTAAATCTATTTAATTTAATTAATTTTTTTATTTCGATTTCAGATATAAAGTGAAAAATAAATCCATTCACAGTGGCTCTCCATTCAACGGAAGCCTTAATGGCTGCTGGATTTTTAAAATCCGGTGACCTCGGACATCATCCACATAGTTATGGTGGTCCACATCCACATCATGCGGTACCGCATGGGCCATTACCGCCTGGTATGCCTATGCCATCTTTAGGACCTTTTGGGCTACCACACGGCCTTGAGGCCGTTGGTTTCTCCCAAGGTATGTGGGGTAAATATTTCCAATTTTTAGCAAACTTTTTATAAATTTAATTCTCGTTTTTTAATGCTAGGCTCTGTAATTTTAAGTTTTAACACTTAATGATATTATATTTTAGATTTAAGTAATATTATTTTTTCAATGACTTTTGATTTTCTAAGTAATTTCTGAGCTATTTTGAATTTTAAGTTGAATTGTACAAAATGTTGGTCGAAAACAATATCTAGTTTAGTAAAATATTTAAAAACATGCTAGAAACAAATTTATATATGTAAGTAATAAATTTTCCTTCAAATATGCGCTTAGATTTCTTTTATTTTTGGAAAAAATTTTTTGCTTTTCCGTCGGTTTTTCATATTTTGTTGATAATTGCATATAACAAGTAAATTGATAGGAAATTAACGCTTTATGCGAGTTAATATTTTAATAATAAAATGCTCTATGTATATAAGGATTTTGGGTTTGACATGCAATTACAATTTAAAATTACAAATTTCGCTGTTAATAGTTTTAAACATTTCCTTTTTAACCGGTTCCTTATAGATGTAATTGTTATATGTTGAAACTTTGGTTGTATGCTTTAAAATTGAATGCCAAAATAAATATAAACGCGATTTTATGGTTGACTTCCTTAAAAATTTTTAACATTTTTTCATTAAGTTAAGTATTTTGCGCGTCTTCAATGTTAAAATTTTAAATACAATTAAAATGTATGACAACCACTAATTGACCTTGCCAAATATCACATTGCCTAATTCTTTAAACAATAAAAAATATATTTTAATAACATTGTACTTAGCAGATTCGATTTTGATCTATACGAATTAAATTATGTATATGCATAAATTTTTTTAATGTTGGAAATAATTTTCCCTAAAATAGCTAAATTATTAAATAATTATTCATGAATTATGTATTATACTTATTTATTTTCTGCTTGGTACCGGATTAAAAATATGTATAGAATTTTCATAATTTTAAATTTATAATGATAAGTAATAATTACTTATTTATCAATAATCGTGTAGCACACCTTTTCTTGAGCATTATTTGTAAGGTAAAAAATTTTATTTTGATTTTGAATATAAATTAATTTTTTTTTGCTTAAAATATTTTTTAAATAATTTTCTTTTATTTCTAAATTGTCAAAAATGAATATTAGTAAAAAAACACGAATACATTTGTGTACCTGTACTTTTAGCCTCTAGCCAATTATCTAATGGTCTAATTGAAAATACTTACAATTCACTTGTTCTAATATTTCCAGTCTAAATGGAGGTGGAACAAAAATATGTTAATAAACTACTTTTTATTTTAGAAAATAATAATTAATGACCAAAATTAATCCACGATCATTTTCTCAATATATCTCATTTCAAATTTCATAAAGAAAAAAATATTCAATAGATAATACCACAAATACAACAAAAACTTCAAATAGACGATTCCGCTATAATGATCCGTTATCTAGATTTGATTAAACTATCTTACAAAACAATTTTCAATTAATGGTCAAACATTTATTTATTTTTTGTTTTGTTTCAAAAAAAAAAAAACATTTTATTATTTTGAATAATTTCTCTAATATCAAATTTCATTTCTTTAATTAAGTTGCGCTTATCCGTAATAAATTAAAAATCTAAACAACTTATTCAAAAAATAAAAGTCTCGTGTTTACTTCAAGAACATTTTTTTTCGATTTTGATTTCGTCAAATACCATCATTATATTATTGATTGTCAGTATTATCCGTCATCAGTCGTCGGTGAAATAAAATCTTCAACCATTAATTTGTTGTTAAAAAATTATATAAGTTTAAGTTAGAAGTCGTAAGTACACCGCTTATTCAAAACTAAAACAAAAAAATTACAAGTGACCCAAATATAAAAATTATACTACAAAAAAATCCCTTCTTCTGAAGTTTTTCTGGCTTTTTTAAATTTAAAATATTGTCATAAAAATATGTATATCAGTAATATCATTTATTTTTATGTATTATATAATAACTCAATTAAGGACAAATAACAGAAGATTGAATATTTTTACATTCTAACATGACTGACACAAGATTCAAGAGTTAAAATAAATTATTCGAAGAGTAAGACAAAGCAACAAAAAATTCAGGTGATATGACTTTTTTTCATAACAAAGTAAAGCGTACGACGTTAAACATAAATTCTCTTAATAATATTGTAAGTGATCCCCCGTCATTATCAATACTTTGTGACATAATGAATAATGGAAAATTTAAGAAGAAAAAATAAAAGAATGAAAACTTGTGGAAAAACAAAAAGAATTTACAAGAAAATTAAAAGTTGTGAACGAATTTTTACTTTTATTGTTTTATTTTATTTATTTAAGGCCGTCGGTCGCATGCTTAATCATACATAATTTAGTTTCCTAAACTTGTCGTGGCACAAAGTACAATGCGGATTACAGTTTTTAATGACCAATGTAGCCAATATTGTTTTAATATAACACAAGACCTGAAATATTTTTTGTTTTCCATGTCGGACTCTAATAAAAAATATTTTCGACGATCGTAAATTCTAAGTACAAAAGGTGTGATAGATACGTACGTACACATGTCCACTGATTATAAAAACAATCAATTTTTAATCAATACAAAATTTTAGGCAAAGAACACCTAAAACAGCAGTCTCCTAAGCATATGCAATTTTTATATATTTACCCACTATTGTGACTGTTAAAACACGACAACAATTTAAAGATTGCAACAAAATTAATTCTAATATTTTAGAATTTTACGTAATTGTAGCAGAAAATACGTCAGAAACTTTTTCCTCATTACATCAACTTCATTTTCGAAATATCCAATATTCTTACCTCACTTACTTATTTTTAATTTTCATTTATATTTCAGTAATTTCACCTTCAAAAATATTTATAAATTTTAAAACTAAAAAAAAAAGCATTATATTTTCCGTAAATAAATTTTAAGAAAGTTGATCATTCATGTTCAACAATGTCACAACTTCAAATCATGAGTAAACGACAACTTTTTGTTTAATTATTTTTCTTTTGACTAATTTGATATTTTTGACTGAAGGCACCAATGAAAAACAAAAAATTCCCATGCCATAATCACTTATGTAGCACACTTACACATAAATGCAATTATATAAAAGTTTTTTGATGAAACAATTTTCTCATAAATATTAATAGCACCGCGCACACTCAAAATTATATACTTATATGTATGTATGAAACTTCAAATGTAAATGAAAAGCAAAACAGCAAAACAACGAAAGTCATTGCAACTCTTTTATCAAAATAAAGAATCGAACAAACAAACGAACCAAAAAAAAAAAGAATATAAACAAGAAGTGATGTATAACGTTACAAAGAATTCATACATAAGTTTTATACAAAAGGCCAACAATAAACAAAGCATAAAAATGTTGAAAAAATTAAGATAAAACTGAGAATAATTACATAAGTACATTAGTTTTATCTTTGTCCTTCATTAAACTTCAGATATTTTCAAGAAAAAATAAAAATTTAATTTTTTATGATATTTTTATTATTTTTAATAATTTTTGTGATAATTTTCGATTATTCAGTACTCGTATTATTGAAACAATCATATTGAGCGACAATAACTCCTCATGGGTGAAGGGGGAATAACGGATAAAGTTTTAACAAAAGTTTTTTTTCTACTAGTAATATTAAAACCAAAGTTGAGGTTTACACCTATTTTCGCCTGATTTCTTATTTACGATGTGCATTTATGTTTGGTGTTTGAAATAATAATTTAAATTTTGAAGTTTAAGTTAGTCTGATGTAAAGCAGCACTTGTTATATACATATAGTCATTTTTGTAAATTGCTATGATTTTTAGGAAATTCAAATATGGCGTAACGTGCTCAAAATAGTCTTAATAATATTGAATTCAAAAATCTGCAACGTATAACAACACAAAAAGCATTTAGAATCAGATATTTAATATTTTAGCAAGAAAATGGTTTAAGAGTTTTCCTTGGTATTTTTTTTATGTCATCCAGGTTATTATTTTCGCAAAATTCTCTCATAAACTATTGAATGCCAACCGCAACTAGTAATTCAAAATTTTACTCAAAAAATTTTTACTTTTTTGCAGCTCCTTTGCGCGTTCTTTTTTTTTTAATTTTGCAAACCTAAATCAATTTGCAATTGAATGCCAATACAGTTCTTGAAAGTGTGGACTTAACAACTCTCTTCTTGACAGTAGGTTAAACATAAGATATTGTAAAATTTTCCATTTATATATTATATTTTTCGCTAATCATTCAACCGTCTGCTAATATACATTATTTGGCAGGTAGAAACTACACCCCATATCCGTGTTGCATATTACGCGGCTAACGGAAGAAATTTATTGTAAAAATTACAAATTTGTGTTTGTATTCTGGTTCCGTTTTCATTTAATTCCCTTTTATTCTGCATTCAAGTTTTTTAATCTTTTTCGTTTTTCCTCCTGGAATATAAAATTGGAAATAATGATATTTTGACATTTCATTGGGATTGCCACAGCTACGATATTATTTTAAATTCCGCTTAATTTTTTTTATTCCTTTTCTCTTTCAATCTTGTTTTATCATTTTGAATATTAACAGCAGCAACATTCAAGAACAACAGTAAAATAAACGTATAAAGACATATGTAGACTCGTACTTGTGTGCAAGTATATATTTTTAAGCTATATTCATTTATGCATATAAATGAAAACCTACAATCAATGTTATATTAAAATGTGTGTATGTTAAGCTCTACGTGTAAAAAAAGCAGCATAGTAATCTAGTCTTCTTATCTGTCATAATAACTTTTATTTTAGATATTTACGATGGGCTCGATGCATATTAAACGCGTACTGACTTTGTATTGAATTTCTATGAAAGAATGAATGTTTTTTAACATTCGAAGAGTGAAAAAAGAAAAAAATAACAAAAATGATGTAAAAAAGCGCAGTTACATTAATTCGGTTATCAAAAGGAAAAAAAATAAAAAACGAAT